CGTCACGGAGGGAGAAGCTTTTTTTTGTATGCGCCTCTAATCAGGTCCAGCTGTCTTCCAATTTTGACATTGGGCACAAAGGGACCCAGGTAAGAGAAGGTGAATTCCTGATGAGGAATCATCACCCACAAAAAGTAGCAGAAATTTCTTAGTTAATCTTACATCTCGCAGCATGACAGGCTGTGGACTCAGTCATCTACTTTTGTCCTTGAGGGGTTATTTTAATGTAAGACAAGATTATTCAAGTAAGCATATCACAAATGATTCATTCAACCAGGATAAAGGGAAAATGCAAGGTAATGCATGCTCAGTGCCATTGAATTCCTCCAATTTCTCCTAGGCACCGTTAGTGTCAACCAGACAATGCTGTGTTGCTCCTGTTTTAAATCAGAATGTAACTTTACCATGCAGGAAAAGAAAGTCACAAACAAAATGCATTTTCAGACTCCATCAAGAGTTCTGCCAAGCATAGAGTTTACAAGTGTAACAATGGCAGCTGTTCCCACTAGTAAGAACAGCTGGGAAAAACAGAACTAGAGTCATTATCTCTCAGATTATGATCTGCTGGAACAATGCCCAAACTATCACCACTGACACTGAGTGACAGCATTTAGCCTCTGATAACCCCATTTAAATTTTCATTTCATTCCACTAAAATGCATTAACAGTGTCACCTATTCAAGAATAAACAAAACATTTCAGAATTATTCCAACAATATATGTGGAAATCTATTTTCTTTTAGAGACTTTGAACTGGCTGTATTCAAGATTAGCAAATACCTTCGTCACTTCATTCCCCTGAGAGACCACCATCTAAAGGAAGCACACTTTTTTGGAAGAGAATAAAATGGATATGTATTGTTAAAGCTATCCATGAAATACAATACAGTTTTGATTATTAGATACCTACACAGTTAGAAATCGGCACCACAATGTCCAGAGGATCGGGGATAGAGAAACCTCCTGTCAATCTTATGCTCTATGGGCATGAATGAGGATTATGAATTCAGAAAGTAAGTTACATTTACAAACCACTCGTGTATACAGAATAATAAATCTATGTGTGACTCTGCAAGAAAGCAAGTAGAATATAAAATAATAAAGAAATAATAGCCCCTCTCTCTATGAAGGAGAAGTTATAGGAATGACAAAGATAGAAGGCAAATGAACAAGAGGATGTCCTAGAAGTCAAGTACAAAGAAACCCTGCTGAGAAGTCAGCAGTGGTCCGTGGCATGTGATGGATGACTCTTCATTTGTACTGCATATGGTCTTAACATCTTTTCGGAAAGTATGAGCAAACAAATGTAAATACTATACTTGTGAGTGCACCATTATAGAAGATAAAACTCCAAAGAATGACTTAAAGGAATTAGAAAAGAGAGCAATGCATTGTGTAAAAGAAATGATATTTATTGTTTCCTGTTATTGAGAATATCATAGAGCAAAGAACAGTCCACCCAGTATCAGGTAGCTGTGGAGATTACTTTACTACCTGCAGAATGGCTATGAAAGACTAGATTCTGCAAATATTTGATATTAAATTAAAATCTATCTGGAAAATTGAGACAGGAAAAAAAAAACAGGTGGCATCTGTAAACATCATGCATCCCCTTCTGCTTCTGGAATTCCATGTTTAATAGAAAATTTTAATTCAAACACTCTAGGTGACTGAGGAGGTTACAGTGACATAGATGATATCCCAAAGCATGAGTTTCAGAATCAGGAAGAACCCAGATTTATCCTGTAAGTCATAGTTGTCAATGTTTTTCAAGTGGTTCCCACATGCTCAGGAAGCTTTTGGTGGGCTGCACATGGATTGTTTTCTCACAAAATTCTCCCAACCCCCCTAAGGTTTCTTATTGTTATCCTCGTTATATAGATGAGGAAAATCTGCCACAGCCATATTAAGTAATTTGGCTAAGGTCACAGAGTTGGTAAGTGGTAAACTATAAAATATCTCACTTCCTCCAAAATGTCACTATCTGGGTGACTACAAGTCACTACACTTCTTGGCATCTCACCATGCTTTTCTGTACAATATGAATGAATCTCATGCTCTACTCACAAGGGTGTTATGGGAGAACATCAAAACCATTGCCTTCTATAAAACAATGGTTCAACGCTGCTGACATCTTTGTGACCATCATTAAAGATTATCAAGGACTTGAAACGAAGAGAGAAACAATAATCTTCTTAAATGTCTAAAATGAGGAAATCCTCTTGATTGCAGCTGACTAATAGCTGGGGACTCTTATAAAGCCATCTTCTGTTTACATCGTATGGAAAAGCAGCTACTTGTCCTGAGTTCCACACCTTCCTGCTGTAACCTCCCACTGCGACTTCTCTTTCCCTCCATATTGATTAAATAAACCAAGAAAGTTCTACATATTAGAGGTGCTAAAGAGAGAAGGCAGTAGGTCCAGATAGGGGGAAGGGGCTGGTTAGCTGTATATATAATTATTACTCGACTATATTTCTTTCTGCAGGGACCAAGGGAGCCTTAACGTTCCCCTCAGTTTAACTCAACTTTAGTCAGGTTTCTTCCTAACTCTAGGCCCCTGACCTCCTTTTTCATAGAAAAACTTTACTCTAGAACACTTGCAATTGGAAACTCTCTCTGCCTCTTTAAGATATAAATCTTCTCCAAACCTCTTGCAAGTTTTACAACCTACGAATGTCTTTTTCAAGGACCTGGGAGCCATCACTTTGAAACGGCATCATCAAGAAGGAGCCCCTATATCCCACTCTCTGTGAAAGGGCAGGAGCCGAATTTCCATTGGCACCACTTGGGACACACAGGAGGCCTGACCCCACTGACCAACCTCCCCGGTCATGTCATTCAGTACTTTTCCACTAGTTCACCCCAGTGTTTAAAACCTCACCCACCTTTCATTTTAAAGGTGTGGAGTTTAGTCTCCCAATTGCAATAGTCTTGAATAAAGCCTTCCTTGCCTGTGTAACTCTGTCTGTTGCAAGTTTCCTTTGAAAGTGGTGGATTTTACAATCACTTGAGAGAGCAGAAACTAGGCAGAAAGAGGAAAGAAAAATATGTAGTGGATTTTCCGATAAGAGGAAAAAACGGAGGCTGCCTTAGTGTAAACTTTTTAAGTAAAAGTGCCAGCACCTCCAAGACATCTTGATTGGGTCATGAAAGGAGTCATCCCTGAGCATGCAGACATCATGGGAAGAACTGAAGGTGAAATACGGGGTGGACAAGGCATGAAAAATAAATGATAATAAATTTATGATTTAAATATATTTATATATAATACATTTATAATTTAAATAAGGACAATTATAAAATTTATACTCTACAAGAATAATAGGCTTTTATGTAGATTAAAATGCATTTAAATGCAAATTCAAGGCATATTTTTATGGAAATTTATATGTGGTCCTCTTGTCTATTTCATGTATTTGGCTGTGACCTTGTAAAGACCTTAGCAACAATTCCTCCCTACTGCTTTAGAACTGTTAGGCAAGGAAAGGTCTATTGTGAGCTCCTCTTTAAGTAACTGGGTGAGGTTTGGGGAGGAAAAAGGGTAACTTTCTAATGATCTGAAATTCTGAAATACTTAGGAGTATTTAGAGCAGAGTAATATATTTAGGCCTACATACTCAAAGGTTTCCCTGGATAGTTTCCATCCTGATGGTCTAGTATGGATTTCAGAGCTCTCAGTAAACATTAAAACCCAGTGCCTACCCAGGGTCATTGATGGAGCCTGGGGAACAGAGCTGACCTTTTTGGGGCAGATGAATCCTTTGAAAGTGTCTGACACTCCTTGCAAGAACAGCACGTGCCTATACCATGTCCCTTCCACCAAGAGAGCTTTGGGTTAGAACTCAGATGAATTTATATTTAAAATTCTAGCTATGAGAGCTTGGGCAAACAAGACAACTTATCGAAGCTTTAGGTCCCCAATATATAGATTAATTGATAGGTGACTGATACAGATAGAGTTCCTTTGAGAGAAACAAAAATCTCTACTAAAGAGAGGTGTTGATGCTTACTGCCATATGTGGCACAGAGAAGGCATTCAGTGTAGGCAGCTTCTATGGTCATTATTACTGTTACTACTGTGATTTTTCCAATTTTTTAAATTCCCATTTACCAATAATAAAAGTCCCACCTCACTTGACTTTAGGTTCCTGGATATGTGTGTGTTCCTCAGATACCCAAAGTGTGATTTTACTTGTCAGAGAAGGGAATTTCGAGGAGCTTTGGGCCTAGATAAATTAATGTCTTCTATGCAGCGTTTATGATAATGATACATACACATGATTTTCTCAGTAAATGCATTTGAATGACTCTCCAAGTTTGATGCTGTATTAGTTTTCTAGGGCTGCTATAACAAAGTACCATAGACTGAGTGGCTTAAACAAAAGAAATGTATTTCACAGTTCTGAAGACTAGAACTCCAAAAGCTGGGTGCTGGCAGGGTTGGTTTCTTATGGAAATGCCTCTCTCCTTGAGAGGCATTTCTTATGGAAATGCCTCTCTCCTTGAGAGGCATTTCTTATGGACATGCCTCTCTCCTTGAGAGGCATTTCTTATGGACAGGCCTCTCTCCTGGTCTTGTAGATGGTCATCCTCTCCCCTTGTCTTCATATAATCTTCCCTCTGCATCCAAATTCCCTTTTCTTATCAGGATGCCCATCTTGTCATATTAGAGCTGACCCTAGTGGTCTCATTTTAATTTAATTCTTTCTATGAAGACCCTGTCTCCAAATATGGACACATTCTGAGGTACTGACCCCAACGTGAATTTTGTGGGGGACACAGTTTAGCCCATAACACACGACTTAATTTTATACATGTCTATTTGATCTAATTTTCTACTTAGTGGCCTTTTATTTTCCACCTCATCAATTATATTTTCCCAATACTTATCACTTTTGATCATTATTAATTATTGAAGCACCTTTAAATTTAATCTGATACAAAAATGCCCTAGACCAGGTACCAGGTAGAGCAGGCTGGGATCTCACATAAGAATATATGGTAGAAAGAATTAGAATTTTATTTCATAGAGAGTAAGCCCCAAGTATTTTCTTTCTTTATAACCTCCAGTGTCATGCAGTACAGTCAACTCACAGCACATGCCTGTGGGAAAGATGAGTGAGTCAATGAATCAATTAGCAGGATTCAAAGAGCAACAGCTGACATTTATAATCCCTCTTCTAAGCACACAGAATAATCGTGTTGCCTTGTTGAAGACTCTTTAGAGTTGCCTGGCTGGGGAATCTTTAGTTTGAGAGAGAGCCTGGGGACTCACACTCATCATGGAGTAGCCTGAACTGCATCTTGAGATTTGCCAGTGTTTCCTGAGTAATCTGAGCATTGCTCCAGCAGTGTGAAGTTATGTCAGGGACATAAAAAGCCAAGGTCTCCAGTATACCCTGGGGAGAATGAAGACAAGAACATCACACCATTTAAATGATTAAAGCAAGAAATTCAATAGTGAAAAGTGATATGGCATTGCATTTTCCCTTTAAAAGGATGAATTCTGTTTACTTTGACCAAGAGCAGGCTTAATTTAAAAACAGGGTGGTGATCCAGTTTATACCAAAATACCAATATATTCAAATAATAAAGTAAATTAGCCCTTCTGATAAAAATAAGATCTTATCAAAATGCTAACCACTGTGGCATATCTACAAAGAGAATATTGCATAAGTTCAAAATTGTCCAATTCCATGGAGAAAGCTTTTATCTGGTTTCTTAAACACTTGTAGCTTCCTTAACTCCACAGTTTATCCCATCTGTAGTTTCCAAATCCCTATGTGTTCATTTTCTTTTCCACTTGAGAACCGAATAATTAAGATACATATGTACATGATATCTAGATAGACACATAAATATCCATAGATAAAATAATAAAAATCCTAATATCTAGCTAGCTAAAGAGTATTGTTCCCAGTACACATTTCAATTATCTTAAATGTTTGCTTTTTTTTGTGGGTTTATTCTTTGGGTGGGAGTGCCTTGGTTTTTGTTTTTATTTTTAACAAAGACAAAAGAGAAAGAGGAGAGAAAAGATAATTGCACATTCTAAGTGTTTTATCAGAGTCTGAGAGTAGAGGCTGTGTTATGATTCCTGGTGGAAATCTGTTTTCATCACAAATCACCTCACAGTATGATGCAATTTATCATGATTGTCATCCTAGACTCAAGGGGGAGCAGAAATAGAATTCCAGCAGCTCTGTGCATAAGGACCTATGTACTCAAGTGCATGGTTAAACCTCAGTGAAATCGTTGCCATCATTGGGTGCCAGCCACCGGCTACTGACAGTAGTTTTCCCCAACTGCCCAACTTTTAAGAGGCTGGTTTAAATTCACATCAATCAATAAATATTTAGGGCAAAAATCACTCAAGTGCATAAACATACCACCCCAAACTCAGCAACACAATACTATATGCATTTCCAATTCTTTATGTAGACAGGACATTTTACAGTTGGTTCTTCCTTTTTTCTTTTTTTTTTTTTAACTGCATTTTAATGCCCCAGGTTTGTTTAAACTTCTGTCAGAATGTTGACTCAGACCGAGATTTTATTTTTAATTCAGGAAAGAAGAGGATATAATGTCTTTAAAAGAAGAAGGAAATTCGGTGAGTTTTCTGCAATTAGCACCATAGAAGTCAGTTAAGATGCCTTCTGGAAATTTCCAATAGATAGGGGTAAGTTAGAATGACAGCAGGCAGCAAATGAAAACAGCACTTGGCAATTTGGGAATCGTTTTTTGTGACAAACTATCTGGTAGGCAACAATTTTGGCTTTCTCTAAACTTGTATAACTTGCTGTTATTTTGGCTGATTTTGATCATTAACACAATTGCACATAGAGAACTGTCAGTAAAATTAACTTCGGGCTGAATTCACGCCTACTTTCCCACCTCATTCTACTTAAGTACTTTCAGAAATCCCATGCTTTCTTCTAGAAACTTTGAAGCAAAAAGAGCTAGAAAGGAAGGTGGCCAGACTGCTACACCTCCCCTCCTTCCCATCATTATAGATCAAGCACTTAAAGTGAAGTTTAGACCTCAAGTCTATCTCTCCAATTCATGCTTTCCTATAGACTGGATTTTTTAGTTCAAGTTTATCTGGCTAAAATATAAGTATATATTCATATCACTAAATAGAAAGACAATGGTCCACAAATGTGCTCCACTTTCTGTTTCCTACCTTTAAAAAGTTGTATCATTATCCAGTTGCTCAATTCATAGCCTAGGTCTTCTCTTCCTTCTCTTTTTCTATGGTAACACTTAACTAATCACTTTTTTTTTTTGTTTCAAATTTTCCTTTTCCCGTATCTCTTGCATCTGCCCATCTTTTCCATGTGCCAACAACATCCAGTTCAGACCTCAGTCATTCCCTACCTGTTTATTGCAATCGCTGTGAAGAAGCTGTCTTCCTCGAGCCACCCTTACACATTAATTCTATGATGCAGCTAGTCATCTTTCCAACATGAAAATCTCTTCATGTCACTTTTACAAAGACTCCGCATAAAAATCCAAATGACATGGGGTAGTTAACAAACCCTCATGACTTGTCCCCAGCAAACCTCTCCAGCCTCATTTGTCGCTTCCTTAACTAACCTTGAGCCCCAGTATTCGGCTACTCACTGGTGCCCAGAGCAGCCATGATTTCTTTACCCTCTTGTCATTTTCCCTGTGCTTGGAGCTTCAACTCCTTCCCCTGCTTCAGTTCTTCCTTGGTTTCTCGTAGAAGTCAGTTCTTGCAGAAAACCTGTGACAGTAGAAAACTTGTGACTGTATCTCCAGCAGGGTACTGTGAATCCTGTGTACTCCTTAAATAATTTCTTGCAAAAGGGGCTTACTTTTATATTCCATCTCCCTCTATCTTAAAAGCTCCTTAAGAGCAGGAATTCTTTTTAATCATCATTTATTACTGAACCCTGAGTATATAATGTAACACCAGGGCCATAGAAATTTCATGCTTTATAAATATTGTTCAAAGAATGAACGAATAGATGGCAGAGGAAGATGTCTTAGAAATCAATATTACAGTTGTGTTGCTGTTGCTGTTGCTCCAGTGAGGTCTTGGGGAAATTATTCACCCCGATTGGATAGCTTTAGCTCTTTCATCTTTGGAGTGAATATTTAGTGAGGACAACCCGCTTCTTAACTGAATGATATTGAGGTGGTAACAAGAATTCCATCCACATTTTTACTTTCCAGTGTTTGGGGCAAATTCAGTCATGTTGTAATCATAAGTAGAAATTTAGTAACTTGTTTTCTAATCAAAACTAGAAATCCATATAAATGCAAACAGTGAATGCTCTACCAAAATTACATACAAGTCAGCATTGAAAATAAGAAGTGGTTTTTTACACCCTAGGCGCTTAGAAAAAGATGGTTCTTATTTTTTAAATGGATTATGTTCTGCAATAAAGCATATGTTTTATATTTTCCTAGGCTACAAACATATGTCATAATGTACACTGTCTATTTGTACTATAAGTAGTTTGCTTTAAAAAATAAAAATATTGATTTTTAAGCTTTCTCTCCAAATCTCTATTTGGTTCTCGGGTTTTTTGCTTTACTTCTGTGAAGAGAGAGTTTATGCCACTTTGATACTTTCTAATTTTCTTCCTGTGCTTCTGAAAGACAACTATGTGTCTCCTTTTGTAAAGGTATTCATTATGAAATTATAACATGGTATAGGTTGAGACATGACAGGATATTTTACCGACTATGGGGAGTCAGTAATAGACCTCTTTATTATCCTAGCAGTCAAAGCCCGGCTTTAAAATGTCAAGTGTCTCTGCAATGCCTAATTCCAATTTACTGGGGAAGAGGAAGGAAAGATTACAAAGAGATTAAATGTATGGGTATTTAGTACCATGAAAAATTGAATTTATTAGAATTAAAATTATTATAAAAAAAGACCAAACCATGGTAGTCCTTGGAATGCCACCTTCTCATTTTGAACTTCTTGAGATGGAACATGAATTAGTGACTATCTAAGAAATCAGAAATAAGATATCCTGGGCCTTAGAAATTTTTGGTTTTTATATCTATAAGAAAAGGACACATCCCAAGTTGTACTTACATTCTTAATCAAACATGTTTTTAAAAATATACAAACATAATTAGAAGGTGAGTAGGTAAATTGGATGCCTAGTAATCAACATTTAGTTATAATTTATGATGTCTTAATTAGTTTCCTTATAATTTAACTGATGAAAATTATTTACATGTACAAATAGCCACTGACTGGGAAAGCTAGTGGAGCCAAGATCCCACTTACATTATTTTCCCAACCAATAAACAAACAAACAAACAAACGCTTTTAGCAACCAAATTATTTTTGTAGTCTATTGTTTAGACATCTGTTCTGTTTACTATTACAGTGTGAGAATGCTGTACTAGGGAACTGAAAAACTGTTATTGTGAACAGTGGAGTTTCTCCCCCTCAGTACTACTGACATGTGGGATGAGAAGATGCTTTGCCTTGGGCAGCTGTCCTGTGCATTGTAAGAGGCTGAGCAGCATCTCGGCCCTGCTTCTGCCTACTGGACACCAGAAGCACGCCCCTCCCAGTTACAACATCCAAAACCGTTTCCAGGCATTGCCCCCAGTTGGGCCACCGCTCTAATCTCTTAGTGTTCTAAGTCGGGAACGTGCCATTTGTCATTATTTAAAGCACTCAGTGATAGTACAGCACTTAGTTAAAAAAAAAAAAAAAAAAAAGGGAAAGGTATGCCTATAATGTTGTGCTAGATGGTCCAAGAGAAATAGGAACCCAAAGTGTAGAAAGCAGCAGGCCTGGGGTTGACCTAACAAATCTTCTCAGTCTCTACAGGCTCTTAGCCAGCCCCTTCACTTTTTTTTTTTTTTTGAGAAGGAGTCTCTGTTGCCCAGGCTGGAATGCAGTGGCACTATCTCGGCTCACTGCAACCTCCACCTTCCGGGTTCAAGCGATTCTCCTGCCTCAGCCTCCTGAGTAGCTGGGACTACAGGTGCATGCCACCATGCCCTGCTACTGTTTGTATTTTTAGGAGAGATGGGGTTTCACCATACTGGCCAAGCTGTTCTCGAACTCCTGACCTTGTGATCCTCCTGCCTCGGCCTCCCAAAGTGCTGGGATTACAGGTGTGAGCCACTGTGCCTGGCCACCCTTCACATTTTTATCCCTCAATTTTCTACCATAAAAATGAATAATACTAATAATTCTCTCATAAGGTTGGGGTCCCAATCAAGGGAGCAAAAACATGAGAAGGACCAATGAACTACACAGATGGACGAGCCTGGAGGGCATCATGCTAAGTAAAATAGGCCAGGCACAGACACACAAATGCCGCATAGTCTTACTCATATGTGCAACCTAAAAAGTCAAACTCACGGAAGCAGAGAACAGACTGGTGGTTACCAGGGCTGGTGGACTGAGGGTCAGGGGAAGATATTGATCAAAGGGCAAAAAATTCAGTTAGATAGGAAGAATATGTTCAACAGATCTATTGTACAATATGGTGACTGTAGTTAACAACAATGTGTTTTATAATTTAAAATTGCAAAGATAATAGATTTTAAGTGTTTTCACCATACACACAAAAACGAGTATGCAATTTAATGCAAATGTTTATTCGCTTAACTATTCCACAATGTATTCATGCAGCAAAACATGTTGTACATTATACACATATACTTTTATATGCCAGTTAAAAACTGGCCAAGATAATAAATAATAATCTCAGCCAAAAAAAAGGCCAGCAAAGATACTAGCACATAATGAGTATTCAAAAATTTGTTTTATTATTAACAAAACATGATTCAAAAAGTAGTTCAAAAATATTTTTTGCTACGCTGTTTGCAGAGAGAATTTCTCTTTTTATCATGGATCAAATGATTTTAGATAAATGGAGTCAAATTCTCCCACATAGCCCTTATAATTTCAGGAATTTATAATTAGTATAACACTTCTTCTTAGCCTTAGTTATTAAGAGGTAGTGTAAGCTAATGGTTAAGAACATGAATTTTAGAATCAGACAGATCTAGGCAAATAACCCTTCCTCCACTGTGATTTTCTACGCCTCACTCAGGCATCAAACCAAACAAATCATAAAGCTGTAGTTTTGTTTTTGAATTTACTTTCTACTGATATGGGCTTGGAGGTAGTTCTAAGACAAAAAAAAAGTACTGATGCTTCAGAAACATTGAATTAATGGTGTTGCTTGAAAGTTAAGAAACAACAGAAAAGGAAAATAAAAGAAAAAATGTGTTAGCAGAGTAAGGAGAAGGGAAGGAAATGTACATTTAGTGCCCGCTACACACCAGGGACTACAGCAGCTTCTTCAGCAAGGACGATCTACTTAATCCTCACCATGATACACTGTTAGCTTCATTTTACAGAAGAGCATCAGAGGGGTGTTGTAACTTACTTGATGGCACACAGTAAGTAAATAACGGAATGAGAACCAGCACAGAAGTCACTCTGACTCCAGAACAGCTGTTTTTATATACGACCACGGGCTGCCCGGGTACACCCCAGTCCTGACAGTTACAGAACTGTTCTTTACGTCCAGCTCTTGCTGACACTACACAGAGAGAATACTGAATTTTAGCAGGTAAGAAAAAGCAATAGTTATCTTCACAAATGTTACCATCTCAAAGGAAGTAGCTGTATCGTTATGATTATTTCATCAGTTGGCTTGGGATACTAGCCTGTTTATGGAGATTAAATTCAATTTTAAAAAGGTTTCAGTGGGAGGCCGAGGCAGGTGGATCACGAGGTCAGGAGATCGAGGCCATCCTGGTTAACACAGTGAAACCCTGTCTCTCCTGAAAACACAAAAAATTACCCAGGTGTGGTGGTGGTAGCAGGCGCCTGTAGTCCCAGCTACTTGGGAGGCTGAGGCAGGAGAATGGCGTGAACCAGGGAGGCAGAGCTTGCAGTGAGCTGAGATTACAAAAATTAAAAAGGAGAATGCAAGTTTCTAAAATCCAAAACATTTCTATAAATGAAAGAGTCAAGCTGTCAAAGTACCAAAGTGATGAATTTTTTGTGTGGTTGGGGTAAACTCCTTAATGTTAATACAGTTTTGTTGTATTATAGAAAAATGTGTGACACCATTATCTTATACAAAAGATCTGCCCATTTTATAGACACAGCGGTTCCCCTTATCCCCAGTTTTGCTTTTGAAACTTTCATTTACTCGAGATTAACTAATTGCAATCTGAAAATATTAAATGGAAATTTTCAGAAATAAACAATTCATACGTTTTAAACTGCCTGCTGTTCTATGTAGTGTGATGAAATCTCACACTGTCCAGCCCCTTTATGCCTGGAGCACGAATCCTCCCCTCTTCCAGAGGGTTCCCACTGTGGATGTTCCCTGCCCACAAGTCACTTAGCTGTCTCACTTACCGGATTGACTGTCCAACGTCTCCATGCTTGAGGTCACGTCATCCTTATTTTACTTAATAATGGCCCCAAAGTGAAAGAACAGTATTAATTTTTTAAATTTTCCTGAATTCACAATCCAGGAAAAAGATATTAATGTACTCAGAGAATTTGTTCAAAATGCCATTTGCAATCCCTAGTCCTATTCTCTGAACATAGTATTGCATAGGTGCTTGGGGTACTTTTGAAATGAGCCATGTCACCAAAAGAAAAGTGACATTTGCTTTGTTACATTAAAACAACTTCAGAAGCATGCAGCAGCTCCTGAATTTCTTGGGATGGAATGGAGCAAGTTTTAATATTAGCTCACACATATATTTGCA